GGTGTTGTCATCCACAATGAAAGGGATGTCCATGAACTCAATTGCCTTGTGCTATGACCATGCTAGTATCGGTTCGTTAGAAAGGACGAAAGATATTGGTCAGTTTGATGAGGATAAGCCAACTGTGTATGAGAGTGTAATTGTTAAACTGACTTGCACGAATAAAGTCATTTCAAGCTTCAAATTACTATTTGAATTTTATTATCTTTGGTGTAAATTACCCTGTTTCTACGCTTGTTTGGTCGGATGCGTCGTATATTTGTTAGTCATCTATATTCTACGATACAATGACATGGGCGTGTCACCGTTCAGATTTGAAGATATAGATAAAAGAGGTAGGTCAACAAATGAACCCAACGACGATTTTCCAGCCTAGGGCGTCAACCTGAGAAGGGTTGTGGGCGTGCTGCTGTAATCCCTACAATTCTTCAAGGGTAGCTCGCCAGGGGAGAACATTTGATGTATTGATTTTACATATGTTTGCTTTAAGTAATTTAATGGGTTCCAATAATGTATTTTTTGGTTAATCTTGTTTGTGTCCGGACATTCTTCAACTTACAATCGTCAACGTGAGAAGGGTTGCAGGTGTGATAGTGTAAGTCCTGCACACTCTGATAAGGATTAGCTGTGGATTCGATGATTGAGGATGAACATTTATATTTAGGCTGTGGTGCGACACTCCAGGAGGGAGAGAGTAGACGACTGAGTCTTGCATATGTCACCGTTATTAGAATTGAGGCAGAATGAGTGACAAGCGATTTGAGTGGTAATTGGTAGTGAATAGATAAGAGGATGTGCGAAGAGTATCACGAGGTGGTGCTATGGTCACGTTGTGATCTGCAAGAGTCATTCTAGCAAGTAGCGTTTGTGTTGCAAGATGTCAAGAGAATGCCATTAACTGGAAGGCATAGGTCGTCATTGATGTGTGAAATTGTGCTGTGGGTATGTTTGTTGTGTGTTGGGCATTTTTGTCTTGCTCTTCCATTTTAGCCCAATCCCGGTTGGACCAGGCTCTCGCTTTGGCAGGTCATTTCGGGGTTACCATCACCACAGAAAAAGGTGATGGACCCTTTTTGCCGGGGAGTGCCAATGGACGTGAACATTGAACGTTTGGTTTTGGAACTGGTAGCTATCGGTGGGCAACTCAAAGTCACGAATGGTTCGATCGTGTACTAGTTCGACGAAGACGTAAAAAAACGAATAAAATGCATCATAAATTTGTGTAAAACATTTGTTTGTAGATTTGTACTGTTTCCTACTTTAATTGCCAAACAATATACCTTTCTTCTTACAATACTGCTGTTTTGGAGTTAAAGTCGAGGAAAGTTCATAGTATTTATCGGTGCGGAGCGTCTTCGTAACAATAGGAACTTAGGGATAAGTTCCTTGATAGATCATGATCAATGAAATAGTGAGTATTTCTTTACACAGGTCAGTGCTGTTTGGTTTATTTGTACACTGACCTTAATCACCATATCATCAATCAAGGAAAATCCACTGTTCACATATAACATTGACCTTACTTTGAAATCCCTACCACTGCAAGCAAACCATGCATATCACAACCACACAAAACCGCGCACGATAGCATCTACCTAGGACAAATCAAAAGCCCGAACGCCCGCCACTTTTCCTGCCAATGAAAGACGAGAAAACCTGAAGCGCGATAAATTTAAAACGCGATAACCTTTATCCCCACCCAATAACTTCAATCACACGTCTTCAGGTTTTCATAGTACTCATGTTCATCCTAGATTTAAGGTTTTAGGATACAAAGAGCGGGTCGTTTGTTTTATACTCAACAGTCTTTGAAAAGACGGCCCAAATTTTAGGAGAAGAAAGGAGGAATCGTGCATAAACTACAGAATGGAACGCGACATGATGATTGGTGAGGGTGTTTCACTTACTGTCGTCAGTTTAACGAATCCACTATGTCACTGAACGTCAGCAATCACTATCGAAACCTGATGCAGCCGTAGATTATGGTTATTAGTTTCACGTAATTATTAACCTCCAAAAGCACGCGAAAGCCGTTAAAATCAAGCAATAAAATATTGTATCCCAATAACAGCGGAATGCAGGTTATGAAGTCAGTTTGTTATCTGTAAATGAATCCTTGCCCGAAGTATCGCTATTCTTGTTGAAGTTTAGATAGATAAACAGATAGTTGTTCTGACGATAATTCTCTGTCACAGCACTAACTGTTAATGCGTTTGATAGGAGAATGTATATTCTCTGTAGGTTCTTAAAGATATCAATAAGTCACTAATTTAAACTTTAAGCACTAGTAAACACCAATGGAGTGCGGCCGCATCTTTGCCCTTGAATGATTCATTCAGTGTATTTTATTTAGGTGAGTTGAAGCATCTATTCCGCTTGTTTCGAGTCAAATGCCTACTCTAGTACAGTTGCGTTTGCAATTTGGTGAGGATCAAGTCTTCCAGTATTGCTTAGATTTGGAAAGGAAGGATTCGCCCATGTGGAGGTGTGACGACAATAAAAGGCTTCAGCACGTCTGTTGATGGACACATACATCGTTCTACAATTCGTTGGAGATGAGTTACCGTCAGGGAATGTAAGCTGATGATTCTAATATTTCGTAAGAACATTATTTTGCCAGATCTCACCTTTTCTTAACGCAGATCAGTGGCAAGGTTAAAACTCCTTGTCATCCCCTGAATATATTCATCACAGAGTCAACCATTCTAATGATTTTGTGGATTCCATTACAGAGACCCCACCAATTCTATTGAAGGCTTTGGGGAAGAGCTATAAATGGATAGCAAAGCGACGTTATTTATAGGTGAATTGATGTATCGGATGTGGCGTGACTTTTCCATTGATACTCCCATGCAAAACTGGGAGATGTTCTTATCATACGTGAGAGAAAGCTATCCTCTGTAACACTTCTAGTTCATTTTTTCATAAATATATGTATTTCATACCCACAAATATCCTCTTTCATGTGATAGGTGCTTTCAATGTCATTCGCTGATTGGTAGTTAATGGTGCTTAAAGTTTAATTTTGCCCAATAAGCAAAATGGCGAAATCAAAGCATTACGTCAGGGGGGTGCGAATGCTCCAATGACCTCAAGTGCATGCCAGTTGTTGGATAAAGAGACCTATCATTATTACACTCTAGTGTGAACGCTATTCAAGACATAAGATGTTTTTAAGTACTGTTTCGACAATGTGTTAATAGGGTTAGGATCAGGGTTAAGCTTAGGATCCGGGTTATAATTAGGGATCGGATTAAGGTTAGGTTTACGATTAGGGATAATTTTTGAGTTGATATTATTCATTTTAATTAGTTTTATTATCCACATTTTCCAAGTAAGTAGTCGTCAATCCTCTTACCGGAAACCGTAGTAATTCACTCGAGGGAAATTTTAGGAAAACTGCGAAACAGGATCATAGAGATGAATGGATCAGAGAAGAGATTTCATTTTCAGTTACCTCTGTAATACGTGTACAGAAATTGGTCTAACTTAAAAACTGACGCTCTCCACTATAACTGGGATATATTTTTAAGTCATGCCAGAGAAAGAGAAATGGTCAATGGCTGGAGTGGAGATAATTGGTTGATATGGCTCGGAAGCGTTCTCAGTGGCTGTTGTAGATGCATCCACTCCTTGTGACTTATAATATCCAATAAAATTCTATTGCTCTTTCATATTACTATTCTTTTTGCCTCATATATCTGTTTATTATCTCTGTCTTGAATCTCCTTTTACTTTCTCCTCTTGCTTTGTGCACTAACTAAGTGAAGTGTGTTGCAACTTGAACTGCTGCACATCGGTGCAAAGTTCTATGTTGAAAGCAGTCAGTCAGTAAAGTGAACTTATGAACAATATACAGTGGAGAATACTTATTTTGTAATGTGGGAGATACACACTACTAATACTTCTACTATTAATTCACAATAAAGTTAGATTTTGTATAGAAGGATAATGGGAACTTTGCAGTTAAACTATAGCCAGCTGAAATGAGCTAAAATCTCCAATATACAGCTATTATGGAGATTCATTACTTTGCAAATAATATAATGGATCTTGTCTGCTCCTCACTTAACCATGCAGGATAATATTCGGAAATAAGATGATGATCCTGGCTAGTTGTGTACCTCCGCAGCTGCAGTCAAAGTGGTAGATATATATAGAAATGGAGAAATCAAGCATTTGTCGAACGTGAAGTCGGTGTGGTAGTGCAGAGACAACTTACTTCTGCTGTAGTGAATGCTCTTTTGACTGCATTCTTCAGGCTCTGTGTTACTGTTTCACTGATGTTATCCCCAAGGTACTGAAGTTTTATGAACAATGGCTATGCTTTTGGTGCTGTTGTTCGACTGACTTGTTTTGGTGCTAAATTCATATTTTTCTTAATGATAATAATCTTAAGCTCCTCATTGAAAGAGTCGTTTAAGCACAATATCCTAGATCTATGGACAAAACACTTTACTATGTTACGTTTACACTTCAAATAGTGCAAAACTCAAGAAATGACTGTATTGACCTGTCGGTGTAGGTTTTCTATACATATTCCTTCTTAATGTAGCAGCCTCGGCGAGCGTCCTAACCGCTATGCCACCGACGCGCTAGCCAAAATTGGTAGACAGTAATTTACGTCCCAAACCTTGGTCATGAGAAAAGACAAGACAAAAACAAAGACTAACTCAACAACCAGTCACAGTAGACTTTGCGTGGGCGGATACGATTCGCAGATATAATAAATAACATGGTCTGACCTTCAAAGAAATGGCCACAAAGAGATGGCAGAATAACTTTCAGCGAAAAAAACAGCCAATCAGAGGACGCCGTTTCTCTGCTAATAATAATGTAAAAAAAATCTATAAATATCTGCTGATTTTCTCAATAAACGATTTGTTGTCTGACTCTAGTCTTTTGTCGTTACAATTAATTACCACCTCTTTTCAGTGGTTCATTCTCTCTCTACTCTCTATCTTTTCTTTTTTGACCTATTCATTAAAAAGAAACTTTCTCGACAATAAATACTTGTATGTATGTATATATCAAAAATAATAATTTATAAGTTAGTATATGTTAAGAAATAAAACAAAACAAAAAACTGATGAATAAGGAAGAAGGATAACAAGAAAAGTAAACAAAGACATGAGTAGCAGTAGGGTAGTAGTAGTAGTTGGGGATGGGGTGGGTTGGGAGGGGGGTAAAGTACACATTTGGAGACATAATAAAAGCTAGCCAATTAATTATACAGGGGATAGGAGGAACTACACATTATTCAGAAATATGAAAATAGAAAAGTGTATGTACCGGGTATATTGTGCATAGTTAAATATATATATCCAATGATACACAATACAACTCAATTCTGAACAACACAGTCAGGTACAACAACACCAGTGACCTATTCTAGTGTAATTGAATCAACACACACAAACACAGGTGATCTCAATGCGTTGGAGAATCATTTATTGATTTTTCGACTATCTAATCACTTGCGAAAAAAATGTATATGCATGTATATATTGTATCACAGAGACTACATTTTCTGTTCTTATAATAAAAAAAATTACAGAAATATAATCAACACTATAACACTGTTGTAGAATTAAAAGTAATCTAAGCAAAAATGATTAGTTGAATAGTAGTAGTGTGTAGCTATGTGATGAATGATCGGTTCATTTCTCCGAACAAAAAAGAGGAAGAATTAGTTATTGATGATTGAGTAATTAAGAGATGAAGTGAAAAGACAAACAAACCAAACAAAGAGGAGATTAGAAATCAAGACACACGCGCACACTCTGATGTGCTATATTTAGACAGTTGTTCACCTATGATTTGAAGGTAACCAGGATTTCATTAAATGATAATGGTCCATACGAACTTTGGCATATTCCTATAAAGAAAAATTACAAAGATTACTCATGTTAAGCTAGCTGAAAGACTGGATCATGTAAGCATAAATATCTGTGTATTATTATATTGATAGATTTCAATCTGAGTCATTTAATCTTAAATCAAGGATTTTTATTAGTAAGCTGTTCAAGTTTTGTCTAGTTACTTAGCGAAGAAAATCTATGTCACTATCCACCCTCGGACAACCAACTCGCCGCTCCTCGTTGGTGTTCCACTAGAGAAATCACTCACTTGATGGCTTGTTTTCTCAGAGTATCACCAATCCACCTCCGTTTCTTCCTGTATATTTGTTGCACAGTCAGTTCCTGGTTGGTTCGCTCATTGCCAGAGATCCCTTCCTGTTGCTGATCTTTTCTCGCCAGCCATTTGATTCTGAATATTGAGCGAAGACAGCTGTTGGAGAAGGTCTGTAATTTGTTCGAAGTGTTTTCATGACGCGGCGCCAAGTCTCTGATCCATAAAGTAGCACTAACTTCGAATTAAGTTTGAAAATCCGGATCTTATTTTTCATACTCAATACTGTTGACCTTCACAGAGACTTAAGAGGAATGAAAGCTTGTCTTGCTTTCCCGATCCTTGCTTTGATATCCTCGTCAGTTCCGTCCGCCTGTAGTTGAAACGATGCTTCGCAGGTAGGTGAAAGAGGTTGCTTCTTTCAGACTCCTCCCATTTATGCTGACTGTTGTCTGTTGTTGTTGCTGTTGTCCAGGAATCTTCATCACCTCTGCTTTCTCTATGTTCACATGTAGTCCTATCTTTGATGCTTCGTCTATCACCAAGTTGTTGCTTTTCACTTGTATATCTTCCAGTTTGTGAGAAATCAGACACATGTTATCGTCGGCGAACTCCTGATCCTCCAAGTTTTTTGTGTGAGTCAATTTTATGCCTGTTTCCTCACTGCCCACTGTCTGTCTGTCGCATTATCCAGTCTACCGCAACTAGGAAATTCATTGTAGATAATAGGCAGCCAACCAGCTTGTTTTACTTCCGTCTTCACTTCGAAGGATTCCGTGAGTTTCCCGTTGTGGGTTACTTGGCACGCAGCATTCTCGTAGAATTGTTGGATGAGATGTATAATTGTTGGCGATACCCCATCTTCGTAGCGAAGCAGTTTCCAAATCACCTCTCGGAAAAATTACCAACAAGAAACTCTGTAGACGGACTAAGCAAACAAATATGTAGAAGGAAAAATGGAGATGAATCGAAGACACGCCACTGAGAAGACAGTCAAATGACATAGTGCACTAGGTCATCTCTCGAGTGGAACCCTTACGGGAGACGATGAGTCAGGCGGCAGTCCGAGGTTGAGATGGAGGAGGTCATGTGAAGAGGAGGAGGAGATGAAAGCATAAAGGTAATCCTGGCGCCAGCTGAAAAGGACTACAAAGAACAGGATGAAATAGAGATATGTTGTTGAACCCATATTCGCCGTCGGATCCTTGACACCCACCTGCTCAGCAACAGCATCAAAGTCCCGCAAGAAGCTCTGTATGTTGCCTACTTCAAAAGTAGCAGGTGATGCGATCTTCACCAAGTGTAACGGGAGGAGACACGAGATTTAGTATCGGCATTATTTATTAACACACAGATACACAGATATAGACAAATTCTCAAATATCTTCCGTATTACATCTCTTTATCTTCCTTTCATGCTGTCCATGATATCTCACAAGCATGGTTCATTAAACCCATCTCACCACTATTCGATATTCATGTGCATGATACACATATTTATATCTAAATCCATATACTACTTATAAATCATGTCAGTAGTACACTTATTAACAATAATAATTTCAATAAAAACACGACATACCATAAAATCGAATTGAATGCTAGACAACTGACTTTGAACAAGTGACCATGCCGACCAAAACACATGTGATAATAATGAACCATAGATTGTTTCAATCCATAAAATATCATCATCATTATCATCACCGGTATGATAGTTAAAATCACCAGGATTAAGACTAGAATCTTGATGGTCACCGTTTTTATAGTTACCATTTGTCGCTGTTTTAATACGACTATTTTGTTCGGTTGACGAGTCTGAATTCTTTTCAGTTAGATAAGCGTTCCAGAAAAATTTCTAAGAAAGTTCAATGTGAAGAAAAAAACATAAAGGGAAAAGAGATATACATAATATATAGCGTTAGACACATCATTCTGGAATATTTTTAAACAACCTGCCGCATACATTATGTTTATGACAACAACAAAAAGCACATGATTTGTTAGACTAAACAATTATAAAAATGATGTGAAATCATTAACTGATAGATACTGAAAAAATATTAAGTCAGACGACAATGATAACTTAATTTTAGAGAAAAGCCATAAATGTTGTTGACCACGGATTGATATTAGTTAGAGAAGCATTGAATACCAAGAAGAACCGGACAGGTGGGTGTATTCAGTCCTGGTTTGAGACTCATCAACGGTACACACCCATCAGGGTTCGAATCCACGACCTTCCAGTTACAAGGTAAGTTCACAGACCAGTCAGTGTAGACCAATAACCAATTGAACTGGCTGTTGAGTCGAGTCACAATGGTTGAATGGTCTACAACCTTGTGGGTTCGAACCCCCAGGTAGGTGGATACTGACGATGAGTCCCAAACTAGGAGGATGCAACAACTGTCCAGTACTCCCTTGTGGTTTTCAATGGTGCTCTTATTATTATTATTATTCCCTTGGGTTCCTAGTGAAACATTGGGCTTCAACTGCACGTCTCCACTTGCCATTTCTGTCTTCCTTCTGCTGTACTTTTCACCTGCATCCATGTTAGTTAGTCTATACTGTTTCAGCTCCTATTCACACGATCTCCTCCATTTCACCCTTGCACTGACGTCCCACTCGCCGCGTCCTTCCCTTTCGGCCTGGTTCCACTCGAGCAATGGCCTGACGCGCACGCGATGTCACCAAGTGGCCCGGCCTCCTCAGCGAGTGTCCAATCCATCTCCACTTTCTCCTGAATATTTGTTGGTTGGCGATTGGTTCTTGTTTTTGTTTGTTTGTGCCCATAGTTCCTTGTTGGTGATTCTTTCCGGCCCGGTCATCTGATCTTTAGTATAGAGCCAGCGAAGACAGTTGTTGGTTGATAAAGTTCTGGTCTGCAACAGGCTGTTGGAAATATTCTTTGTGATCCACCGGCCAAGTTTCTCTCTGATCCGTATAGAAGAAGAGCTGACTGACTTGACGTTGTTTGTATTGAAAATCCGACCGAATTTTGTTGTTGATTCTGGCTGAGTGACGAAGGTTTCCAGATTGGCTTCAGGTTGATGATGTGTGTTTCTCGCCTCCCCGATTCTCGCTCGATTTGACATCCTCGTCCGTTCCGACTTCCTGTAGTTGAGACAATGCTACCTAGATAAGTGAGTGAATGAAGTAACCTCTTTCAGATCCCTCCCGTTGATGGTGATTGGAGCTGGATGTTGCTGCTTTTGTTGTTATTGCTGTTGGTTAGTTATTTTCATAACCTCCGTCTTGTCTATGTTTACCTGGAGTTCTCTCTTCGCTGGCTGCTTCTTCGACCAGCTTTTCGGTTTTCGCTTGTAAGTCTTCGATTTTGTGTGACATCAAACATAAATCATTCACGCGCGGAATCCAAGTCTTCTAGGTTCTTTACGTCGGTCCAGGATATCCCTGTCTTCTCGTTTCCCACCCACTGTCTGACGTATAATCCAGTCCACTACAATTAGGAATATCATCGTGGGTGATAATAAGCACCCTTGTCTGACTCCTGTGTTTACTCCAAACGTCTCACTGAGTTTTCCGTTGTGGATCACTTGACATATGCCGTTGTCGTACAGCTGTTGAATAAGGTTGATGAATATTTGGGGTACGCCGTAGTACTCAATGGTACTCTAACTGATATCAGTCCGCGGTCAAACTTGAAATGAGCGTTGATAAAGCAAGATTTAGGTAGAACTTGTCAGCTGAGTACTCTCCTCTCCTCACTTATTTCACATGATGTATGCAGGGTTCGAACTCAGGACCTTCCGGATACAAGGCAAGCTAACTCGTATAGCATTCAACCACCACTGGGACCCGAATACTCAAATACCAGCCAGCCCATGAATTTTAACTTCTACCAATTCGTGATGAGTTTAGCGCGACCACCAACCTATCTCATCAGTGGGACATCCATCTTCATACTTGACTGGATGAACCTCACTGGTCAAGACTTCTTACTAGAACTCCCAGGAACTCCATCCTGTCGGAAGTCACTAGCGAGCACCAGATTAATTTTTTATAGTTGGTTTGTAAGGATTAGTTTTGTATTTACGAATTAATATCAGTTAGAAGTAATTTTAGTGGACAGGTACTGGGGTTCGAGTCTCAGCAGGAACAGCATCACTCACTGGAGAATGCAGGTACATCCACTAGCTGATGAGTCCCAACTAGGAAGAAATGCACATTCTGGATTCTACTGCTAGTCACAATCCTCCAAAATGATTTCAAATTCATTTTCAAACATGCAATATGATGCCGACCCGTGGATGGGGTTGAGCAAGCTCATAGCACCCATCCGTAAGGGAAACCTTACAGGTAATTTCATTGGTCTCAGTTTAGAGACCGTTGCACAAATCTTAATTTTGTTTTGATTACAGCTTGATTCCACACCCTATTTTTGGTACATGTATGAAATCTTCAGCATTTGACATCGGTAGCCCAAATTTTGCAGACCGACCACAGATATCACATGTGCGTCGGCAGGGGATCAAACCCTGGACCATGTGGATGATCGACGAGAGTCCTAACCGCTGTGCCACCGACGCACACTGCAAAGAACAGATACTACACATGATCTTAGCTCAGATAGCCGAGAAGCGATTTGTGCGTCGATGGCATAGCGGTTAGGACGCTCGCCGACCACGCACATGGTCTACGGTTCGATCCCCGGCCAGCGCATTCCTTTCCCTCATTCAGCCAGAAGTAAAAGCTGGTAAAGAGGAAAGGTTGAGCATGAGGCTAGCAACCCCATCGTGTAAAAATAAACACTGCTGCTACAGAAACTTCAAGCCACTAGCTTGAAGGTGCCCTATGTTCCACTGGAAACGTGAAGAAAAAAAAATCCTCAAACATCATCAAAGCATCGACGCACAAATAGCCAACATGGGTCAAGAAAGAGTGAACGTTTCGATCCAATCACAGTCAAAAGGAAAAGAAAGTTTGAATTAAAAACAAATAGTAACTGACAGCTTAAATGCTATATGGGACAGAGTTGTTCATAATTGGGATATTTATTTCTTCTTATTGGAACATTGATGCTTTTCTACAGATAAAAAACGTTTGTAGTCTGTAAAAACAACCACCTAGAGCAGTCTCAATTGTACAAATCGATTCAGTGTGTGTGTGTGTGTATGTATGTATGTGTAGGATATAAGTTATGAAATGAAGTCATTGGTTACAACTAACGGTAAGAAAAATAAATGAAGACAAGGTAGGCCAGGCCAAAAAAATAATAATTCATGAGAAAGCAACAGATACCGCTGACTGACGTAAGGTGGTAGGGTATCTAAGCAGAGAATCGACAAAAATATGAAAAATTTCTATTTTCTAACTTTTACAACGACTAGCCGCCATTTGGGGGAAATTAGTTAGGCTATAATATACCAGCAGAAACATTGTATGAACCGCTTAACATTGTCAATCAATTCTAAAATGTTTTAAACGATTTATGTGAGGATAAGGCATGTAAAAGTATTTGTTCTGTTTGTCATAGAAACGGAGAACTATCATGACTTATGGATGGGGAAAACTTCCTTCCTTAGATTAAACTATACAATAGTATGTACAAATGAGAGAATAACTTTGGATGCTGTACAACAACAGCAGTTATGCCATGGTATGTGTATAATTTCCTTTTCGTATATATCGGCAAATCTCCAAAAATTGATTTTCCATATTTACAACAAACTAAAATGCGTCTAATCAATGAAAACAAGCCAGATTACGTTGAAAAATTGAAGAACAGTTGTGACAACTGATGCCTAGTATTATTGCCTTGGGTTCCGAGTGGAACATAAGGCTTTAAAAACAGCACATCTCCAACTTTCTCCTATTCTCTGAGATCCTCATATGGCTGGCCACCCGACTGTCCATAATTTCACCGTCTCCATGTCACCGTCACAACCTACACCTCACTCATCGTTACCCATTTGAATTCCACTTGAGCGACGGTCTAGAGAGATATGTCACTCGGTAGTCGACACATTATGTATCTGATCCACCACCATTATTTTTTGGAATATTTAGTGGACAACAGGCACTTGGTTGATTCATTCCCAGAGTTTCTAGTCAATAATTCTTTCCGGCCGACCATCTGGACTACAGTGTGGAGTCGGGGAAAACAGGTGTTGATGAAAGTTCACATTAACCTGTTTGAAATGTATGACACGCAGTGCAAGTTTCCCAAAACATATAGAAGAAGTGACTAACTTAAAGTTGGTGTTGAAAATCTGAATTGCGGCCTTTATGCTAAGTGTAGTGGATGCCTTTCCGATCCTGTCTGGTTGTGACGTTAGCCTCATCTGTGGAGTTGCTTGTAGCTGAAAGGATGCTGCCTGGTGAAAAAAGTGACTGGTGCTTGTTCTCGTGGTTGGTTGGTTATTTTCATCACCTCTGTCTCTTCTTTATGTTCACTTGAAATCCACTTTATTTACTGCCTGCCTCTTCTGTCAGCTCGTTGTTTTTTCGGACAGTATATCTTCGAGTCCGTATGACACTAGACACAAATCATTAGCGAAATCCAGATTTTCTCATCGACCAACGTTTTCCTGTCTTATCGCTACCTGTAGTCTTCCAGCTTATACAGTCCATCAAAATTAGGAATATCATTGGTGACAGAAGACTGATAGCTTTGTCTTATTCCTGTCTTCAATTCAAAGGCTTCATTGAGGTATCTGTTGTGGATCACCTGACACGTAGTATTATGATATAGCTGTTGAATGAGGATGATAAAGATTCGTGACACTTCATTCACTGATGTTAAAGTAATTCCCAAATTACTCTGTGGTCAACGCTATGGAAGGCCTTTTTTCAATGGTCTCTGATGTATATTGTCTTATTGAAATTCTAAACTCA